TACTATCACAATTTCTATTTCATTATGTGCTTCATTTTCAGATTTGCTCTTAAAAAGATTTTTATAGGCCGGGCGCAGTGGCTCACACCTGTAATCCCAGCACTCCGGGAGGCTGAGGCAGGAGGATCAAGGTCAGGAGTTCGAGACCAGCCTGAGCAAGAGTGAGACCCCATCTCTACTAAAAATAGAAAGAAATTAATTGGCCAACTAATATATATAGAAAAAATTAGCCGGGCATGGTGGCGCATGCCTGTAGTCCCAGCTACTTGGGAGGCTGAGGCAGGAGGATCCTTGAGTCCAGGAGTTTGAGGTTGCTGTGAGCTAGGCTGACACTACGGCACTCTAGTCTGGGCAACGGAGTGAGACTCTGTCTCAAAAAAAAAATTTTTTTTTGTAGTTTTATACCATACATAAGGTCTCCAGTCAGAAACGCCTTTCCTGTCTGTTCTTGCTATTTCTCTCCATTTGTCAGGGACCATTTTCTGCCTCATCCTCTGTTGTGGGTCTCGGATCCCTCCACCACAATGCCCAGGTGACCACACTGTCCTCCTCCAAGGTCTCACCCTGCCACTCCCCAAAATCTCTTTTCTACACCCTGAGTGTCATCCCAGATCCTGGAAAATTCCAGCGTCAGAGCATCTCCCTACCCCTCCCGAGCTGGCTCACTGTCCTCATCCCACTGCAGTTTCCATGGTGACCACAGGAGCCACCTCTGTGGTCTGTACCACAGGTGGGCATCCATGGAGGGGCGGGCCAGAGGTGTGGACTGGGAGACAGGGCTCACAGAGGGCCTGCCTGCCGCCCTCCCGTCAGCGACTTGTGCGCCACTTCTGTTCCAGTTTCACCCTTGGACAAACCCACCTGTTCATCCCGAAGATGCTTATTTGTAGGTTGGGTTCAGACCCCTTTGCCCCTTAACTGTCATTGAATCACGACCTGTCACAACCCCAGTGTGGTTCTTTGTGTCTGTCCTCAGCTTAACCCTTGGTGGATTCCTAGTGACCTGGGAACCGCAGCCCCTTGCTTGCGGGCGGCGCGCCTGCCGGGGACACGATTAATCTCAGCGCCTCAGCCTTGAAGTGCTCACCCTGTGTGGGACGCGCGCACACCGCGCTTCCCCGAAAGTAAGACCGGGTCTTTTATTTATTTTTCCTCAAGAAGACACCCGAGGGCTTATTTTCAGGGGATGTATTTTTTTTTAAGTACGGTACAACAACCCACATTGATCCAAATACGGTGAAGTCGCCTTCTTCTAAAGCACCATCCTCACTCTCCAAACCCCGAATCCCATCCTGAATGTCTTGCGACTCTGTTTCCTCTAGACCCACCGGCCGATCTCTCCCGTGGAGCCACAGAGCTGTCACGGGCGGATGAGAAGGGCTGCTCGGCGTCTTCCCGCTCCGCGCCGACACGCATGCGCTGTGCAGACGGCCGCGTGGCCACGCCGTCACCAGGGCTGATTTCCGGGTGGGGCTTCTATCGCGCATGCTCAGACATCCTGCTGGGGCTTGTTTCATGGGCAGATCCTGTTTCGGGGAAACACGGCACAGTATTTGTCCTTTTGTGACTGGCTTATTTCGCCCAGCATAATGTCCTCGAGGCTCACCCATGGTGTGCCGTGTGTCAGAATCTCCTTCCTGTTTAGGGCTCAGTGATATTTCGCTGTGTGTGCAGCTCACATTTGGTTTAGATGGACACTTAGTTTGCTCCTACCTCTTGGCTACTGTGAATCCTGCAGCTCTGATTGCAGCTGTATAGGATCTCCCGTGTTCCTGCTTTCAATTATTTAGGGCATATATTCAGAAGTGAAAGTAAAGGCTCATACAGCAATCCAATTTTCAATCTTTGAGCAGCAACCATACTGTTTTCCAAAACAGCAGCACCATTTTACATTCCCACCAAAAGGGCACAAGGGCTTTGATTTCTCCAAATCCTCACCAACACTTGTTATGTTCCAGTATTCATTCATTCATTCATTCATTTTAGTAGCCAGCCTAATTCATGCAAAGTGGCATTTCATTGTGGTGTTTTTTTTTTTTTTTTTTTTGAGACAGAGTCTCGCTTTGTTGTCCAGGCTAGAGTGAGTGCCGTGGTGTCAGCCTAGCTCACAGCAACCGCAATCTCCTGGGCTCGAGTGATCCTTCTGCCTCAGCCTCCCGAGTAGCTGGGACTACAGGCATGCGCCACCATGCCCGGCTAATTTTTTTTTTTTCTATATATATATCAGTTGGCCAATTAATTTCTTTCTATTTATAGTAGAGACGGGGTCTCGCTCAGGCTGGTTTTGAACTCCTGACCTTGAGCAATCCGCCCGCCTCGGCCTCCCAAGAGCTAGGATTACAGGCGTGAGCCACAGCGCCCGGCCTTCATTGTGGTTTTGATTGGCATTTCTTTAATGATCAGTGATGCTGAGTATCTTTTCATGTGCTTTTTATCTGTATGTAGATATGTTTTTGGAATCAGGGCAATCTTTTTAAAATAGTATTTTGGTGATGGGAGTTTCCAAGTTACCACCCCTAGAAGCTGCCAGTGCTATCAAAGGTCATGGGGCCCCTCGCCCCAGGCTCAGGGGCCCTGCAGGATCTGGCCTATGCTGACCACCCCAGCATCCCTTCCTTCTCCCTCCCTACCACTCATCATGCACCACTATATTCCATGGACACTGCAGACTTCCTGTCCACTTCACACCCGCCTGAAACCTTCTTCTCCAAATCCTCCCACAACTGGGTCCTTCTGATTGTTCTGGAGTGGTTCACAGGTGAGCTCGCCTCCTCCAGGGAGTCCTCCTGACCTGCCTTTTTAAGTGATGCTTGCCCTGTGTTAGTATCACCTCACTGTGTTTATTTCTTGTGCTTAGAATTTTCTGGAATTATCTTCTTTCAGTGTTTAGTTTTATGTTTACTTCCTTTCCAATCTCACAAAATGAGGTCTGCAGAAAGGCAGGGTCTTGGCAGTTCTGTTCACCACAGTAGCCCTGGTGCTACCATGTTTCCCCAAAAATAAGACCTACCCATGAAATAAGCCCCAGCAGGATTTCTAAGCATTTGCACAGTAGAAGCCCCACCCCGAAAATGAGCCCTAGTGACGGGCGTGGCCACGCAGCCGTCTGCACAGCCCATGCGTGTCCGTCGCGGAGCGGGAAAGACACCGAGCAGCCCTTCTCATCCGCCCCGGGACAGCTCTGTGGCTCCACGGGAGAGATCGGGGCCGGTGGGTCTAAAGGAAACAGAGTCGCAAGACATTCAGGATGGGATTCGGGGTTTGGAGAGTGACGATGATGTTCCAGAAGAAGACGTCACTCTATTTGAATAAATGTAGATTGTTGTACCGTACTTGAAAAAAATAACACATCGGCTGAAAATGAGCCTTAGGGTGTCTTCTTGAGGAAAAATAAATATAAGACCCTGTCTTACTTTCAGGGAGACACAGTAGGACACAGATGAGCTCATAATAGGGCTTCCTGAGTGAGCGCTGCTGCTCCCTAGGGTAGAGTATTCAGTCCCTGCAGCCAGCAGGGAGCTGGCACCTACTCGGCAGCCGTCCCTTCAGGTTGGGGTGGGGAGCCTCATGGCGTTCGGCAATTTCCACGGTGTAAATAATCCCCCCACGGCCATCCCGTGTTCAGTTGTTCAGATAGCTTGAGGTTTGAAAAAGAAGTGAGCTAGCTTTGCTTCCTATATTTCCTAGTTTTGGGTAATATATATTAGACTGTGTACTGCAAATGCTATGACAGCTGTTTTGTGTTTATCCAGTTATAATGATCATTTCCTGTATGAATGCACAAGATGCTTATAACAGAATGCATAAGGCTTTCATTACAGTTTAAGATTATAAAAGTAAAAATATAGTAATTACAAGTTTTCATATTTTTTTCTAAATTACTCAGATTTGATTCATAGCAGATATCTTTTGTTTTTGCTTTTTGTTTGTTCGTTTTTTTGTTTTTTGAGACAGAGTCTCACTGTATTGCAGGGCTAGAGTGCTGTGGCATCAGCCTAGCTCACAGCAACCTCCAACTCCTGGGCTCAAGCGATCCACCTGCCTCAGCCTCCCGAGTAGCTGGGACTACAGGCATGCACCACCATGCCCGGCTAATTTTTTCTCTATATATTTTTAGTTGGCCAATTAATTTCTTTCTATTTTTAGTAGAGACAGGGTCTCGCTCTTGCTCAAGCTGGTTGCAAACTCCTGAAGTTGAGCCATTCTCCTGCCTCGGCCTCCCAGAGTGCTAGGATTACAGGCGTGAGCCACCGCGCCTGGCCTATTCTTGTTTTTGTTTACATATACAGGCTCATAACAAAGTGTATAAATTGTCATTGGTGGGAAAATGTAAAGAAATTTCTTTATATGTAAAAAAATTACTGTGATAAAAACAAGTTCTCTGATCTCAGAAAATAATTATGAATCAATTTATAACAGAATTATCTAATTGTCATAATTGGGTTACCACCTAAAATAATCCTTCTTTAAAAAATGCTATGTATTCTTAAAATGCTATTACACTCTAAAACAAAATTGCTTGATACATTTGCACTTTCTCTTGTAGTAAAATTTTATCCTTAAGTTATTGTACTCTAAAGACATTTAAATTATTGTGCTTACAGTAGTAGTTAATTCAAATAGCTATTATTTCTTGTGACAAAATATGTGTGTAAATATTGACACTATAAAATTCTGCATAATGTTTTTTTAAACATGCCTCACAGAAAAGTAAACTTTGGCATAAGATTTAGTATCAGGTCTATGTGTTAATCTTAGCAATGGCAATAAATTATGCAATCTCAAAAAAATTTTTGTTTACCTGAAATCCAAATTTAGCTGGGCAGCTTGTGTTTTTATTTGCTAAATCTGGGGCAACTTTAAATAATGGCAACAGCAACACTATTAATAATAGTGAAAAAAAGTTTTTTAAAGAAGTAAGAGGCCAAACATTATAAACATGATGATCTGTATTTTTCAGAAGTAAAATTCATTTCCTTATGCATTTGCTTATTCAACAGATATCTGTTAGTTCCTACGATACACCAGGCCTACAGCTCTGAGGGCAGATTGGCAAAACAAATGGCAGAGTGAAGACCTAGACAAGAAAAAAAAGAAAGAAGAAGTGTTCAAGGAAGAGAATAATGGATTTCACTTCTTCTAAGACATATTTTTCAGATTTTAATGCTTTTGCTGTAATTTAGTAAACAGTATTTTTCTTTTATCATGTTGCCTGAAATAATTTGCATCCCAAATCCATGACCTCAAAAAAGAAAAAAACCCAAATGAATTTGATATTTAATATAGACATTTGATTAATTCTAATAGATTGTTAAGGAAAAAAATCCCACAGCGTTTTAGATTAGATTTTTAAAACTTTTTTTTACTTAATTTTTTTTCAATTTTTAAAAAATTTCAGGATATTATGGGAGTACAAATGTTTTTGGTTATATAAATTGCTTTTGTGCCATCTGATTCGAAGTTAAAAGTGTGCCCATCCTCCAGATGGTGTGCCTGTACCGTTAGGTGTGGATTTACCCATCCCCCTCCTGCTTGATTTCTGATGGATGTGTTGATCTATTAGTTCCAATTTAATGATGAATACATTTGGTGTTGTTTTTCCATTCTTGTGACACTTCACTTAGAAGAATGGGCTCCAGTTCTTTCCAGTTAATACAAGACGTTATTAGTTTACCACTTTTTTATGGCTAAGTAGTGCTCCATGGTATACATATATCACATTTTATTAATCCACTCATGTATTGACAGGCACTGCATCTTTGGGTTGTTTCTACATCTTTGCAATTGTGAATTGTGCTGCTATAAACATTTCAGTGCAGGTGTCTTTTTTATAGAATGTCTTTTTATCCTTTGGATGAATACCCAGTAGTAGGATTACTGGATCAAATGGTAGTTCTCCTTTTAGTTCTTTGAGGGATCTCCATAGACCAATGGATCAGAATAGAGAACCCAGATATAAAACCATCCTCATATTTCCATATGATCTTTGACAAAGCAGACAAAAACGTACACCGGGAAAAGAATCCCTATTCGATAAATGGTGCTGGGAAAACTGGATAGCCACATGTAGAAGACAGAAACAGGGTTCACACCTCTCCCCTCTCACAAAAATCAGCTCACAGCAGATAACAGACTTAAACCTAAGGCACACAACTATAAGAATTCTAGAAGAAAATGTGTTTGGAAAAACACAGACATTGACCTAGGCAAAGAATTTATGAAGAAGACCCCCAAAACAACCACAGCAACAACAAAAGTAAATAAATGGGACCTGATCAAATTAAAAATTTTCTGCACAGCCAAGGAAACTATCATTAGAGCAAACAGACAACCTACAGAATGGGAGAAAAAATTTGCATGCTACACATCCGGTAAAGGGCTAACTAGAATCTGTATAGAACTCAAGCAAATCAGCAAGAAAAAAGAAATCAAACAACCCCATTAAAAAGTGGGCAAAGGACATGAACAGAAACTTTTCAAAGAAGACAGAATAATGGCCAACAAACATATGAAAAAATGCTCAACATCTCTAATCATCAGGGAAATGCAAATCAAAACCACAATGAGATATCACCTAGCTCCAGTGAGAATGGCTGTTAACAAAAAGTCCTAAAACAACAAATGTTAGTGTGGATGCAGAGAGATAGGAACACTCTTACACTGCTGGTGGGACAGCAGACTAGTGCAACCTCTATAGAAAGGAGTTTAAACTTTTTAATTGACAAATAATGATTGTTTACATTTCTGAGGTACAATGTGCTGTCTTGATGTATGTATACATTGTGGAATGATTTTTTTTTTTTTTGAGACAGAGTCTCACTCTGTTGCCCAGGCTAGAGTGCCCTGGCCTCAGCCTAGCTCACAGCAACCTCCAACTCCTGGGCTCAAGTGATCCTCCTGCCTCAGCCTCCCAAGTAGCTGGGACTACAGGCATGTGCCACCATGCCCCGTTCATTTTTTCTATATATTTTTAGTTGTCCAGCTAATTGCTTTCTACTTTTAGTAGAGAGGGGGTCTTGAATTCCTGAGCTCAAATGATCCGCCTGCCTCGGCCTCCCAGAGTGCTAAGATTACAGGCGTGAGCCACCGCGCCCAGCCATTGTGGAATGATTATATCAAGCTAATTAACCTATCCATCCCTTCACCTACTTAGCATTTTTTGTGGCCGCTCACTCCAGTCTCTGCCTCCGTCCTGTGTGGTCTCCCTGCAGTGGCTGTGTCCTCATCTTCTCTTCTTGCTAATATCACGACACCCAGCGTGGAAGCCGAGAGCCCACCCTCATGACTCGATTTAACTAGGCTACATCCTGCAAAGACCTTATTTCCAAACGGGTCACAGGCAGGTGTCCTGGGGGCAGGACGCCGGCGTAACTTTGGGGACAATAGCACCCCGCCCTCGAGCCTTCTGCCTCCTCTCCCACTTCCCCCTTCATGCCACAGACACCCCACTTCTCCCCATCCCCTCGGCCACCGCCCATGGCCTCTGCGCCGTCAAGGGCCACAGCCTCGTTTGGTTTCCGCCTCCAGCCGGTGCCTGCCATCCTCCGTCAAGGCCCGACGCCGCCGGGCAGGGCCCCGCACTTCTCCCTCGGCCTGCCCGACTCCACCTCGCACCTCTTGGGGACCCGGCCTTCCGTTATCTCCGGGCCGCACCGTGCCCGTCCTTCGGTCCAGAAGATGGCCCTGGGGGGGCAAGGAGGCCCGGGGCCTGCCCCGGCTCGGCAGGGCCTGCGCTGTGCGCGTGCAGTCCCGCTGTCTTCGGGCCGTTCTGGATGCGACACGGCGCTCGCACGCAGCACTCACTGCCAACCGTGCCGGACACCTGCGCGCTCTGAGTTAATTACGCACCCCACAAAAATCACCCCGGCACCTCCGGAGCATGGAACCGGGCTGCTGTGCTTGCGGCCCGTGCAGCGGCCTGGTGCCGGGGCAGGGAGACGGACCAGGGCGAGGCCACACGACGACACAGGACTGGACGCTGCACCCGCGAGCAGCGCCCCCCCAGCTGGGAGAGGCGTGGAACAGTCTCCCCCAGAGGCTTCGGAAGAAAACAACCGGCCCACGCCTGGATTTTGGACCTCTGGCCCCAGGACTGCGAGCGAATCGGTGTCTGTCGCTCTGAGCCACGCGGCTGTGGCGCTGGGTCCCGGCGCTCCAGGAGACGAGCGGCCTCCTGGAGCCTTGCGACAGCCAAGGCGAGTCCCTGCCGGTCCTGTCGCGGAGGACCAAGCGGGGCGGGGCGGGGAGCGAGCACGCAGCTTCCCCCAGGCCCTGAGAAACAGGTCGGGCGCCAGGGAGGCCGGCCTCGCCCGCGGTGCCCACGCCCCGCCCCGCCCGCCGCTCCAGACCGCCCCGCCTCTCTCCAGGGCCAGGCCCTGCGCCCAGGGCCCGCAGCCGCTTCCTCGGGGGCCTGGGGCCAGCCGCGCCGCAGGGACGGTGGGTGGCTGGCTGAGAACCTCCCTGTGAGCCCGCAGTCGCCCGCGCTGCCGGGACAAATGCCCTAGCCTGGCTGGTCAGCACAGCCCACTCGACTCCTCTCAGCTCTGGAGGCTGCAGTGTGCGCCCGGGGCGCCCGCCTGGCTGGGCTCTGCAGGGCCCCTTTCTGGTTTGCAGGTCACCGTTATCTTGCCGTGTCCTCACGCGCGGAGAGATGGATTCTCTCTCTCGGGTCTCCACTGTGACGCACGAAGCGCATTCGGGAGGGCTCCGCCCTCATGACCTCATCCCCTCCCAAAGTTCCCGCTTCCTAGTGCCACCGCGTGGGGGTTAGGGGTTCAAGACACGGATTTTGGGGGGCCGCACATCCAGACCACAGCAAGCCCTTCGTTCAGGAACGCTGCTCATGGCCGTGACGATTTTGAATTGTCATGGTTTTGAGTTCCACCGAGATGAAAATCAGGAAGACTCAACGAACAGCGTCGTTGCGGGTCGTGATGCTCACGGTGCGGGGACCTGCCCAGCTGGGGGGCTCGACCTCTCATCAGAGATAACCGGGGTGGAGGTTCCCCGCTGTATATGGGAGGCCCCACCCTTTATTCTTCCAATAGATATTTAATGCGTGTCCGCTGCGTGTCAGGGCAGGGCCAGGAAATGGCTCCAAATGCTGGAGAATCCGCCTCCTCGCAGGGCCCCAGCCCCTCCCTGGCCCGCCCGCCTTTCCGCACTGCGGCGGCAGTTTCCATGGTGATGGTCTGAGCCTCCCCTCCTCGCTAAGGGCCGATGAACAGTCTTGATTAACCTATCCTAGAGATTGAGGTGGGCACAGCAGGGGAGGGGAGAGAAGGCTCAAGTCCCCCCCACACAGCAGTGGTCCGTGCACAGCCTTCGGCTGCCTTTGATTGGGGGTTTGCAGAACAAGAAAAACATGCATGTGGCAAGAATATTGAAAATTTTGAAGCATACAGTGCCTTATGTGAGGTGATAGATATGTTAACTAGTTTGATTTCATCATTCCACAATGTATGCACATACAAAAACATCACATTGTACCCCATAAATAGATACAATTATTATTTGCCAATTAGAAATAAATTTGAAAAAGTTACACACACACATAAAAAAATGCATGTGAGGGCATCTGCAGAGTCAGTTAGAAATCACAAATCTCCTGCATCTTCCAGTAATAGCAGCAAGATCAGAATTCATCAAGTCATTTCATAAATACTGGCTGAGCGCCTCTGTGGGTCCAGCCCTTGTCTACGGGCAGGAAGCAAGCGCCATGCAAACCGCCCCCCATCCCGCTGTTCTAGTGGGAGACACATTCGTTCATCACCAAAAGTTTGGTCATTTATTTTAAAAAGATGACCTTCTAAGAGACAGGCATCATGCTAGAGCTTGGGAAAATAGCGGGGACTAAGACAGACCGCGCCCCTGCATTTGTAAAACCTGTTTTGGTGCAAAGAAGACAAAATCAACTAACACACTTAATATAACCTCAGAAGTTGAAGAGGCCTATGCAGAAACATAAAGCAGGAAATTGGAAGGCATTAATAGGAAAGGCAAGGGCTGTTTTAGGCGCACACTAGCCAAGTGGTGATACTGAGCAGCGGCTGGATGAGGGAGAACACCCCCGGGGAGGAGGCTGCAGGCAGACGGAAGCATTCCAGGGCAGCTGACAGGACTGAGAGAAGGCTCGGACGTGAGGTCTGCATGGCAGCAGGTTATGAAGCCTCATAAAACTTTGGGTTTTATTAATGCATTATTTTTGTTCGGTTTTTAAATTGTATTTAACTTGGCAAATAATAACTGTATGTATTTACAGGGTACAATGTGATGCTGTGTCTGCACTGCGGGATGATGAAATCAGGCAGATCAACATCCATCCTCAACAAACCACCAATATTGACCATGGGACAGTCATGCACTTGACACGCTCTGAGAAACAGGCTGTGTGGCGATTTCATCGCTGTGCAAACATCACAGAGTGAACTGACACAAGCCGGTGGGCTGGCCCGCCACACGCGTGGGCTAAGCCCACAAACCTGCGCAGGCTCCTGGACCGGAAACTGCAGGCAGCCGCGCCACGGCCGCAAGCCTGTGGCATCCGAACACATCCAAACACAGACAAGGCACTGTAAAAGCAGGACTCTGCAATCTCATGGGCCCACGGTCACGTCAGTCTGTCGCTGACGGAAGTGTCACTGCGTGGCACAGGACTGTGTGGCTGACCGAGTTCCTGCCCCGCGCGAGGTGCCAGGTTCACACTGACGCAGGAGGCATCCTCTCTGCATTTACGGGGCTCACAGCTCTTGGGAGATGCTGGCAGCGATTAATCGAGCGGCTTTCAAGAGCGCCCAGTGTGCGTCCGGCCCTCTTCTGCACTTGTGCCAGGGACAAGCGTGCGAGGTGTGGCCTGCATTAGGGTGGTGGCTTTGGAAACAGAGTGGACCGTTCTTCGGGGATGGTGTTGCCTTTTGCTGAGCTGTTGGGGTGGGGAGGAGTTGATGGCTTCAGAACAATGAATAAACAGGAGAGTAACTTTATAACAGCATCTTAAACAAGTGGAGTACTTATTCTAAATGCTTTACAATAAATTTTCGCAACGACCCTGCAAGGTGGGTAATAGTATTGCCTGATTTTAGACAGGAGGAAACTGACAGAGTGAGGTTGGACAGCTTGTCTAGCATCAGGCAGCGGATAAGGGCAGAGCTGGGATTTGAATGGAAGCCCCAAACCCTGAGCTTGAACCCCCTGAGCATGCTCCTTGCAACGATGCCACCATCCAGAACTAGAAACCTGTGTGCGCAGCGTTGTGCGTCTGGGAAGCACAAAGCAGCAGCCGTGGCGCAGTGCAGGAAGGTGGGCGCAGTGCAGGAAGGTGGGTGCAGTGCAGGAAGGTGGGCGCAGTGCAGGAAGGTGGGCGCAGTGCAGGAAGGTGGGCGCAGTGCAGGAAGGTGGGCGCAGTGCAGGAAGGCTATCGGGCGGAAGAGCGGACTCACCTGCAGACACGGAATTCCAAAGGAATGCTGATCCCAAGGCAGGGAGCTGGGGGCAGGGCAGCCCGCAACACAGATGCAAATCGCTGCCCCAGGAGCTCCAGCCTTGCCCTAAGAAGTCATCCAGTTGACCACATGAATTTTTTGAGAGCCTCTTGTGCTCCTGGCACCTGTCGGTTCTGTTTACCACGCCTTTAAAGCCACACCTGTCAGCCTTTTAAGTGGACCAGAAATTTCAGAGAGATTTTGTTTAAAATACAGCAGTCAAAATACAACAGTCTCGATGCTCTATTCAGAGAGGCTGGGTATAGCGCAGGAAACGGCACTCTTTTCCCATTAATAAATATTTACTAAGCACCAGGGGCTTGCCGAGCACAAGCCCAGGTGCTGGGAAAGAGCCATCAGCCTGCCAGGGGCTCACCTCTGCCACGGACAGGAAGCCAGCCCTCTCCAGAACAGCCCAAGGTGCCCTCCAGGGAGCAGGCGTGAGTCTGGCCAGGAAATCACACCCAGTGTGGTTTGTATCATTCTTGTAAAGCGTGTATTGGAATACCATATTTTTTGTGTGTTCTTTGAACTGACTTTTTACTTTGTGAAATATTTAAAGACTCACAAGAAATTGCAAAAATATAGTACTGAGAGTTCCCACGTACCCTTCCCTCATTTTGCCCATCGACAGAAAAGAAGCCAAACTCTATCAAATAATTTAAGGAGGTTTATTCTGAGTCAAATTTGAGGACTGTGACTGGAAGCCACGCCCAAGAAGCCTTGAGCAAGTGGACTCGCTGTGGCTGGGTTACAGTTCGGTTTTATACATTTCAGGGAGACAGGAATTATACATAAAGTCATAAATCAGTACGTGGGAGGCATACATTGGTTTGGCCTGAGAAAGGTGGGACATCTCGAAGTGGGCCAGGGCTTACACGTTATAGGTGGGTTTAAAAATTCTTTGACTTGTAATCGGTTAAAGACATGAAGCTTTGTCTAAAAGCTTGGAATGTTTTAAGATAAGGATCTCTGTTAATCAGAGACAAGCTACTGGACATATATTTGTTGCGTAAATTGAGGACCTGCAGGTTTGTCTTGCATAACTTTAATCCTGTTAATGGGTTACAAAGAAAGTCTCCAAGAAGGGAGGGGGCACGATGAGGCCTGTCTGACCTCCCTCCTCCTGCAGGCAGTTTAGTTTTAGATTATCTCCTTGGCCAGGAGCGGTCCATTCAGTCAGCCAGTGGAGGGAGGAAGCCTTAATATTTTATTTTTAGTTCACACGACCAGCAATAACATCTGACAGAACCACAGCACAATGCCCAGACCTGGGTTCTGATGTTGGCACAGGACTATTAACTCAGGGATCAGCCTGTTTCTGACTTTAACTTTTTTTTTTTTTTTTTGAGACAGAGTCTCACTGTGTGGCCCAGGCTAGAGTGCGTGCCGTGGCGTCAGCCTAGCTCACAGCAACCTCAATCTCCTGGGCTCAAGCGATCCTCCTGCCTCAGCCTCCCAAGTGCTGGGACTCAGGCATGCACCAACCATGCCGGCTCATTTTTTTAATATATATTTTTAGTTGGCCAATTAATTTCTTTCTATTTATAATAGAGACAGGGTCTCGCTCTTGCTCAGGCTGGTTTCGAACTCCTGACATTGATTGATCCTCCCGCCTTGGCCTCCCAGAGTGCTGGGATTACAGGCGTGAGCCACCACGCCCGGCCTTGACTTTTACATTTTTTATGTGCACCGATTCCTGTTGCTGTTGTATCATTCTGTGAAAATTTACCACATCCATGCAACTATCATGGTGACAGAGTACAGAACTGTTCTGTCACCACACACACACACACACACACACACCACGACCCGCACACATGCACACACATCACACACAATAACGACACATACACACCACACGCACACACAACCACACACGCAGCACACTCACACACGCACACACACACATGCACACACACACGCGCACACACACACACACACACGCACACACACACGAAGCAATGAAACAAAGCTCCCTTAGGAGCACACTTTTTGAATTACAAACTATGCATAACTAATATTCTTTAAAATGGAAAGAGACCAAAGAATAAACAGCAATGTGTCAGATGCAAGATACTATCTTTAGGTTTACAAAGATATGAGGAAGAAACCATCGCCAGGAGTCCAGTTTCATATTTGCATTAACATTTAAGTCATGCTCATTGAGTAGAGAGGAGCACACATTCTGCAGGGCCGGGCCTGCCGCGTGCTCCTCTGTGCCCCAGCGCCTGCAGCGCTGCCCGCGAGGCGGGGACATTCAGCAGGTGTTTCTCACATGACTGCATCATTCGTTTGAAATACACCCATTTTGTGCACATTTAGAGTTAATGTTAAGGGAACAAGCTGGCAGAGTAACCAATAAATCTGGCTTTTATTCAAAATCCAGTTGACACAAACCTAGGATGGTGAGGGGACATGACTCCTTCTCCAAAGAAAGCACCTGGGGAAAAAAAGTTGATGCTGGAAAAAAACAACAACTGTGATGCGTGGAATCTTTGTTCTTTAGGGAAAGTTCTCCCAAGTAACTTTACTGCAGCTGTTCCTGCTAAATGCTCTTTGTCGGACCCTGGTTTATAAGATACTGGGTCCTGAGCTCAACACTGTTTTCATTATCTTATGAGGTAGACTGCTCCACATTCTGATTTTACAAATAAGGGTTTGCATTAGTGATATCCCAGAGACATGAAAACACCTGCCAAAGAACCCACATTTTTATTTACTTGCAGACAATGAATGATGAGCTAGTGGGGTTTAGGCTAAAAATGTTAAATGTGCACTCAGTTTGACACAAAATTCCAGAATATTCCATTCTCAGAGGTTCCCTCTGCTGACTCTCAGCCACCTCCACTTCCTCATCTTAGCAACAGTTTCCATGGTAACAGATCGAGTTTGCCTGGGTTGCTAAGGAACAAGAAAGCCCTGAGCCCCACAGCGCAGGCACATCTCCCGAGCCTGTCCTCTGACGAGGCCTTTGCAGGGGGCAAACAGTGGCTCCAGGTTTCACAGAGTCTAGAAAGTCCCACGTGCTCATATCAACAGTGGCTGGTGGCAGAAATATTTGATATTCTTGCCATGTTTTCATCCATTCTTTTACTTACTCATTCAACAAATACATATTGAGTGCGTACAGTGGCAGGGCAATGTGCCAGGCCCTGGCCATACACTGGGGAGGAAGACAGAGGTATGAATTTTTCTCTCTCATGGAGATTACAGCCTGCCAGGAGATGTTTTCATTCAGACATTTATCCTACTCATATCGACTGTAGGTCCACCCTGTGCCAGACAGTGAGTGACAGAGAAGACAGACAGGCACACCCAGCTCTCCTGGGGATGGCAGTGGCTGGGTAGGGTCAACCCTAACCAAGCAACCAGCGCCCCATTGGTGACTTTTTATTTTTATCCAAGTGCATCCTTGGAACGGCCTGTATCTTGACTGTAGTATTGGCTTCGCAATATTTGTAAGACCCATATATTTGTCAAAGACATTTCTGTACCCTTAAAATGCGTGCATTTTCTTGTGTGCCAATTATACATCAATTAGTCCATTTTGGGGGGCAGGATCAAAATTTTATTGTTTGGGTCTCTGTGGACTCCTAAAGAAATCTCAAGTCTCCTAAAGAGTTGCTGACGGAGCAGAGCGGAGCCCGGCGGTCGGCGCTACCTGCTCGCCGCTCACTCGCCAGTCGGTCGGCAAACCTGTGCGTGCCGGACACTGTCCTAGGCCCTGAGACAACAGGGAGGGAGACAGGGGCGCCGTCTGGACCAGAGGCCTCTTTGTCATTCCACCCTTGACCGAGGTGCAGGCCTCCACTGTGGGAGCCAGAAGCAGGTGCAGCCCTGGGGCGCGGGGTGTGAGACAGACTATTCCAGAGGCCAGGGCTTTGGGGCAAAAGGAACAGGGAGGGGAGGGGACAGGTCAGGTGCTGGGAAGACGCTCTGGGGCAGGGATGTTTGATCTGAGGTCCAAACAAGGGTGGAAAGGGGTCCTGGGACATCCCAGAAGGAGCGGAGTGAAGGTCTTGGTGGGCGCGTGGGCGCATCTATCGCTGACGATTAGATTTGTGCCCCCAAATGAGAAGAGAATCTCCCAAGTACAGGTAGAAATGAAGTATGTGACCCTCCCCCGCCCACGAGGTGACTCCTTGAGGCAAGGTCATTCACTGGGCCGCAAGCGCCGACCGCGTTCTGATGGTTTGCGGGCCGCGGTCATTTATCCACGCGGGATCTTCACCACATGATGGAAAATTCCAGCTTGGGAGGCGCTGGCTCCCCCCCCCCCCGCCCCTCCCCGCCCACTGCGGTTTCCACAGCAACAGCCTCGCACCGCCCCGCAGGAGGCGGCCCAGGAGGGTGGCAGAACCAGCCCCCAGCTCCCCGCGGCGGGAGAGCCACCCCAGCGCTGCGGACTGCGGGGCGCGCAGGGACGCCTTTCCACGCGGGCGCGGGGCGCGCAGGGACGCCTTTCCACGCGGGCGCGGCAGAGCGGAGCCCGGCGGTCGGCGCTACC